ATTGAATTTAGATGCAAAATATTTTATTGTGGGAATGTGATTGAAAATGAGTAAAAGAGAAAAAGAGTTTCGAAAAAAAGGAGACAAACAAATATTAAAATAGAAGAATATTCAATTATTAACTTGTTCTTTAGATGTACAGAGAAGGAATTGAATAACCTTACACTCCATTTCCATCAGTGACGGAGCCACATGATGTCATATAGGTCAAAAGATCCCACGAAATTTAAGAATTTATGTTTTTTTCTTCTTTTTATTTTCAAAATTTAAATTTTCATTCATCCTGTCCTTTGAGCACAAGAATTTAAAATCATTAGTTAATTTCTCATTTATATCTAATGTCTCGAGTGTCAATTTCATCAAAATATAATGTCTACCATAGATCAACTCATCGACGCCAGCGACAGTCACTAACATTTAGCCACCATACACCACTCTTTAATCTCTCAAGTTTCAGTCCACGTGCTATATTGTTTCAAAAAACCTATAACTTACCTTTTAACCTTACAATGAAAAATTTCTAGCTGTGCCATTGATTAACATTGAGGAGCCACAATCCATTAAACACAAAACTTTACATACAATACAAAGACAGGGTTTCTCGGTGAAAACAGGCTCTTCGTTTCTGATTCTTCTTGTTCTTATATATATAATTAATTGACATATAATTTTGTACAAAAAAATTGTGATCCCCTAATATCGTCTATGTATATAATATTTAAATGAATAAATGCAATTCAACTAAAAACATATTTGAAATGAGATCATTGACATATAACATATACAGAAGAGTTTGTTATAGATGGATCATACATATTCTTATGTATATCTTAACCATCTCATTTATAAGTTGCTAGAGTTGCATACGTATTCATTTAAATCTTATTTTTAACATGTTCATCAAGTGTACTCTTAATTCATTTCTTGATCAAAAGGCTAATAAATGCATAACCACATATATATATGTACTCATTTAAACCTTGTTTTTCGCATGACTCAAAGGCTGATTCGTGCACAATTTTTTACGACTAGGTGACGGTAAGACTTGAAACTAATGAGTTAGATACCGTGTTAATCATCTGATTTAGAAAAAAAAAAGTTGTTAAAGTTGGACCACTTCTATTCATTTAAATCTTTTTTTAACAAGTTGCATAATGTATGAACCTAATTAATTTTCCACTCAAAAAAGTTGAATCATGCACAACTTTTTTATAAGTAGGTGATAATGAGACTTGAAACTATTCTTAAGTTTGTGTTAGATACCGTGTTAACCTTCTTATTTTTGTCAAAAAAAAAAAAAAATGGTTGTTAGAATTGGACCATGCGCAAATTTTAAATTATTATTTTCGATAAGTCTCATTGCATGCAGACCTAATTCATTTCACGATCAAAAGATTGACACTCATTCTTATAAATAATTGATAGTTACACTTGGAAACTAATCTTAAGTTTGAGTAAGATACCCTCGGAAACTATCTCACTTACGTAAATAAAAAAAAATAAAAATTATTAGAGTTGGGCCACACACAATTTTTAAATTTCATGTTTAGCACAATAGGCGACAGTGAAATTTGAAACTACTAAATTTGAGTTGAATGCAGTGTTAACCATCTCATTTACAAAAACTTTGTTAGAGTTGGACAACACATACTCATTTAAATCTTATTTTCAACACGTCTCATAATATGCAAACTTAATTAGTTCACAATTATAAGACTGATACGTGCACAACTTATTTATTAATATGTGGCAATGAGACTTGAACTAATGTTAAGTTTAAGACATATAACATGTTAATCATCTTATCTTTTGAGTCAAATGTCATGTTAATAATGTTATCTAAAGTCTGTCTTCAACAATGTAAAATTAAAAATGATAAATGATAAAGAGAAATTTTCTATTTTGGAGTAATACTCTTTGTTATATTCATCCTATCCTATTACAAGTAAAAGGGGTGTCGTCTGCAATTCTTTTTCCACTTTTCCCCTTTGGAGGGGTTATGTCTTGGGTCCCAATTGAAATGGACACACAAGAGGCCACCCATATCTACATTTTCCATATTACTTCTCATCACCCATACATTTGCATGTTCTGTAAAACAAACACTAACCCCTCCAAATTCCACATTTAATGCTCATCCCTTTGTTTTTCGGGTACAAATATATACCATAACAGCTTCAAATTATCAGTATATATATACCGATATCTTACACTGTGAATCAAACAAATTTCTCATCTTTGTGTTGCATTTTACTGATATTTCTTGCTTCTGATGTCGACTACACAATCTCTTGTTCTTGTTCTTTATCTTTTGTTCTCTCCTTTTCATGGATGTAGAGCACGAAACTTTGGGGTGTTCAACAAGGAGCCTGTTGAAGGATATCACCTATATCGCAAGGTTTGAATTCAATTAACGAGCTAATCATTTAATCCACTTGAGCATACCAATTACCAAACTCATCCTAATTTCTCGTTTGTGCAGGACACAGAGGCGCAGAGTCTTGTTAGGGTTTCTATACAACCAGACACCAAAGCTCCAGAAGCTACAAAAACCGAAAGAAAAAACCATGACGATAATAAGATGAGCCCTGCAAAGCCATTTGAGGCTCCTAGCAGAAAGAGTCTACGGAAAGCAGAAGTATCGGGTGCTGCTCAAACTGAGCCTGCAGCTTCTGTTTCTTGGAGGTTGCCTCACAAGAAAGAGGGAGAGGAAGAACCAGTAGATAACTTGGATTATTTACCACCCCATACACACCCTTCGCATAACAATTGAGCTTTTTTTTCTTAATGATGATTTCTATGTTGCATCTTAATATTTAGAAATGATCACCTGAGAACACACTAGCAATAAGGAAGTGTTTGGAACCCTAGAATCTTAATTATGGTTCATGTCTTGAATTGGTTTCTCTAAACATTTTACCTGGTATATGGAAAAGTATATATATTATATATAGAATGAGCATCTCACACATGATGCCCTTGTCGGGCCTTAATTAGCCCCCGTTGGAACCCCATTAAATTTATAATATATTGTTCTCTATTCTTTTTAATCATACATTATTCAATGAAATAATGTTACATATAAACCAAATTTTTTTCTTCTTTTTTAACCACAGATTCTCAAAAAAAAATAAAATAATAATAAATAAATAAAAATACTATTCCAAGAATCGTAACATCAAATAATGGGATTCAAACGGGAGCTTAATGTATATTAATAGATTATATTTTGAATGAAACATTTGATTAGCATTCCTACAAAACCTTCTATTCGTGTTTTCCTATTATATTAATGTCAAAGAATCAAGAAGTTGTTGGAGCTAACCCTCAAATCTTATTTAGGTTTTTGTCATGTTCATCATGGCTCCTAGTCCTCTCTTTGACGGCCTAAATTTTTAAAACAAGGGGCTCAACGTACTCCGCCTCTCTCTCTTTGCATGTGCACACGTGCTCAACAACTTTTTATCTAAAAGTTTAAGTTGCGTGTTATACAATCTTTTATCTATACGTGCTCATGAACATCTTTATCTAAGTTAAAGTTGTTATTTAGTCCTTGTTTGGTGGGATTAAAATCAAATTTTTAGTAGATTTTGATAAAAGTCTATGAAATATATAGTTGAAAAGTTGTGAATATCATGAAATGTGTGGTTAAAATTAATTGTTGATTTTAACTTAAATTAAAATTTTAAGTTCTACTGAACATGGGCTAGTGTGAGACACATTGATTTAAATTTTGTGTTCAATACACTCCCTAGGTACACGATAGTGATGAAAGCGCTTTGCGTAAAGTTCATGATGCAACTTAATTTTATAAAGATAGTCTAACTAAACTTGAATCCATATATGTATTACCCACTCATATAAAGAACTGATCTTCTGTCCATAGTAAGCAGGAAATATGTTTAAGCAGGAGATATGTTGTCCGTTGATGATGTGACAACATGATATTCTGCACGCATATATATTTGATGTTGTATTTCGAAGTATGGCACTTGATTCTTCTTAAATGAGTTTTGCACTTTTCAGTTGATGGAAGTTGAGCTTTGAAAGTTGATACCATATTGTCACATGGCTTTTGGTATTTATGTTGCTTGCAGCAGTAATTTCTCGTCTTATCTTTATATTCACATTTATTGTAAGATGGTGATTGGTTTAAAAAAAAAAAAATTGATAATAAAATTTAAATAGTTTAAGCTCTAGAAAGATTGAGCAATTGCTCATTTGAGCAGTTTGTATACTGATCTATATATAGAGAAATGATCTAATGGGTATCGTTACTTAACAACTTATTATGTTAAAAATCGTATTCAGTAACATGATTTTTGTATTAACAGCGCAAGTTCAAATCTTTGTCCAGCCAGTGTAGCAATTAATACAATAAGCGCACAATGAAATCTATCTATGTAGGAAAATACATCAACCTATGTTCTCTTCCATTTTTTCAATAAATGTATTTTTCCAAAATTCATTTTCAATTATATATTTTTTCATAAAACAATGTTACACGTAAACTTAATTTAAAAAAAAAAAATTTAGTCACACATTTTTAAAAAATAATCACTATTCTAAAATACTTTTTTTGTTCCCAGAATCTTAATTTAATAGAGTTCAAACTGGTGCCAAATACTGCGACGAAATTACTATCATTAATAAGCATCTATTTGGAATTTTTATACATGATTTATAAGGAGGAAAATAAGATAAATAATAGCAAGTCCTACAAAATGTGTAAAAAGTAATGTCAAGCCACAATTTGGTAAAGCGAGTTGGCTTGCACTCAACTCGGTCTACAAGCTAACACGAGTCGACTCACGTGATTAATCGAACCAAGCCCAATGGCGAGCAAACTGAACAGCTCGACTCGACCCTTTTTGCACTCTGACCTCTTGACATGGTCCGAGGGCACATAACCCCGCGCCAAACCTGGTTCGACCCACATTTACGGCTCTCTAGATGGTCAACTCACCTTGACCCATCTAATTACTTTCGATTCAAATAGATTTTGTCCTGTTACCCGTCAAAATGTTTGGCGTCCCTGATTTTCGAATTTGCTATCGTCTTCTCCGAGAATAAAACGTGAGCGGAGCAGACTGTGTTCTTTGAAGAGAGACAGAAATGGACGTGAAACAAGCTGGCTCTTCTCTGGACTCTCTGATTTCCTCATTCAACACTCGAATAGTGGAGCTCCAGCAATTCGTAATTGCCCGCAACAGTTAAGAAATTGATTGTTTTATTTTCATTTTAAACGGTTTCTAATTATTTACATTACATATGTCAAAGTTCATTTATCATAATTGTTATTATTCTTAATTTAACAGTGTACCCAGCAAGCAGCATCAGTGATTTATCAGAAATCGACTCCGCCGTGAAGGGAATGGAGCTCCAGGTGCAAAAAATCAAAGATAGATTGCGAGAAGAAACACAAGCCCTTCCCAAAGCTAAAGTATTTCAATTATGTTCTTTTATTTATTTTTACGTCAATTTATTCATTAGATGTGGTATTTAATTTGAATTTTATAGAAGTATTCGTTTTATGAGTGAAGGGCGATTCCTTTCGTTATTATTGAAATTGGAAATTTGGGCGAAACGTTTGGAATGTCTCTGAAGCGATTTCTCTCTTTATAATATTTGTTATGCTGTATTTAGTCTTGGATAATTAGAATTTGTAGTAATATAACTTTTAGGAGTGAAGGCAAATATCGTGAATGATTTATAGTTTTGCAGTAGTAATTTTTATCTTTATAGTAACCGTTTTATTATATTGAGTCTTGAAATACCAAGTCGTGTATGTTTGTTTTCTTATTTAAGCAATGCGGAACTTTATGCTTAATATGCTTAAGGTTACTATAAAATAGTTGCAGTCAGGCAACATTTCTAATTGAATTGATTTAATTGGGGAAGGGGATAGGGTTGTTTATACTTTATTGGTTAGAAATTTTTTTGCATTATGATTCTATATATTCTTTAAATGTTGCTTAAATATTGGATTATGGTCAGGATTGATTGAGAGATGTATTTGTTCGAACAACAGAAGTTAATAGAGGCCTCATTGCGGTAGCAAATGAAGTTGAAGAGTATGTCAGCCTCTGTTCCATCCTACTTGCCTGAAATAGCAACCAGCATTATTCATGATACAAGTGCAAGGTAATGTGCAGTTTTTATTATTTGTAGGGTCATAATTAGAGTGCGGATTTTTAATGTGTTGTTCATTCTCATTTCATTTTGCATGAATTTGTAAGGAACTTTTCATTTTTTCCTTTCTGTTGTACTTTTCTTCAGCGTGAAACAAGCTACGAAACTTTCTAGAAGATATTCCATGTTGGATAAAACCAGTGCCTGCTATATGCATCCATTGCGATAGTCAATCAGCAATTGGAAGGGCACAAAATACAATGTACAACGGTAAATCTCGACATATACGTCGTAGACACAATACTGTTAGACAATTGCTCTCTACAGGCATTATCTCTATAGAGTATGTGAAATCAAAAGAGAATATTGCGGATCCGCTAACTAAAAGTTTAACAAGAGAGCAAGTCGAAAGTTCATCGAAGGGGATGGGATTAAAACTAATAAAATAATCAAAAGTTTTCATGGTGGCAACCCAACCTAGTTGACTGGAGATCCCAAGATCTAGGTTCAATGGGACAACCGAACTGTGAAAAACTTAGTATGCACTGGGAAGATTTTACTTCTACCCATTCCTATGATGAGCCAGTGCCCAGCTGCCGCGAAATAGGTTAAGATACGCTTTTAATGATTTCTATATCTTGATTTGTTCAAGTGGAGTATAGCAGAATACTCTTTATGGAAATCACCTATGTGAGTGAGAAGGGGCCGCTTCTAAGAGAATTAGGTAAACATGAATTCTCTAAAAATCACTCATGAACCAGGAGGTGTCCAAGGCCAAAAGGACACAAACGTGAGAACCAACTGTGTTCGAAGAAAAACTGTGTGATTTCTATTATCTAGGTTTCCATAAACGGCTGATTGTTCAAAACAACTTGCTACTGATTGGCTAAGGAATTCCGATAGATTTTACTAGGGAAAGTTCAAAGTCATTGACTACTTATCCCGATGCAGTCTTCTTCAATTTTTTCTTTGAAAAAAACATATCAGATGTTATCGTTTGGAATAAAGGCCAACATATTTCATTCATGTGGGGGATTGTTGGAAAAAAATGGTTTAATGGGTCAACTTTGAGCCCAAATTTCAGTGGGACCCACCTTTTAAATAATACGGGACCTAGCATATTCACGTTCTACTCCGCGAGATGATTAACGTGATATATTTATTTATCGAAAACCATTTAAAATTGAAGTTATATTTATTTATCGAAAATCATTTAAAATTGAATGAAATATTAAGTGTTAAAGTAACCCACATAAACTAAGGATTATGGAAGAATTTGATTTGCCAAACACTTATCCCACATAGGAAAGTTAGGAAACTTTGGTGTGGTTTATAAGGTGGAAGTTTGGAATTGGGTTTGGGCCCCAAGGGGTACCAATAGTCTTTGGAAGGGGAAAGACCTATATCCTATTGGGTTCGGTCATAAACCCACACGCGCGCCCCGCCGCCGTCCGTCCGACCGACAGGCTCGACTCGGCACGGCACGTGCCCGAGTCCGGTTCGGTGCGGGTGCGGGTCCGGGTGAACCTTTACATTATATTAACTTTTTGGACAAAATTTATTTAAAATTTTGGGCCAAATTGTAAATAATCAAATTTTTGGGTACAAAATGAAATTTAAATTTTGGCTTATTTCGGGTGTTTTATTTTCTTTTAACAGTCGCCTGTTTCGACTGTTTACCGACCAAACAGTCGACTGTTAGCCGACTGTTAACCGACTTAACAGACACGACTTTTAAGAACAGTATATCTGTTCGGATTTTTGATGTTTGTCTGAAAGGTGATGACTGTTCGAATGGCCACGAACAAGTCTATAAATAGCCAGCCTTTCTACCAGAAAATTCACACCATTTTCATTGCAAACTTTCTGTGCTTTGAATCTCATTTCCCTCTCTCTCGTTCTGATATTGTCTCGAAGTAAAACGCACTTCGTTGAGTTCGTTGGAACTCCTACAGACTGCAGTGCTGCTTCCGTAGGAGACGCAAATTCGTTCTATCCTGGGAAACGATTGCTGGACGCCTTTAGCACCATTGAAGGCAGCAAATTCATTTTAAGGAAATATCGTGAAGTCGGTGGGCTCGAATTACAATTTTGGATCATGTTGATCAATTCTTGCATTCAGGTAATTCTGTCGGATTGTTTTCGAAGGAGTGAATTCAAACTCTAGAAACAACAGAGGTCAATTGTAATAGAATCACAGAAAAAGAAATAAAATCTTGTCTATTAAATCATTAAGTTATATATTATTTAAGTATTAAGTTCATGTTCGGTCTCAATCTTTTTAAAATTTATTTTCCCTCAAATTTATATTTAATCACACACTTTAGGCCCCATTTGATTGTACGAAATTTTTCATGGAATTTGGAATTCGAATTCCAACTTCCACTTTTGACCTGTTTGATTGACAAAATTTTTCAAGAAATTGATTTTTCATGAATTTCTAGGTACAATACCTTAAAGCGTGATTTTCCACCTTTTATTTTCCTAGGGGTAGGTGGTTTTTGGTTTTCCACCTTTTTTTTTTGCTTTTTTTTTTTTTAAATTGTTGGCAATGGGAACAAATTTTAGGAACAATTATAAAAGAAGATATTCGTGAAATTGACAATTTTCATGTAAAACGAAGTCAAACGAATACCAAAATATAGGTGATTTTTTGATCGTTTTTTTTCCCTTTTTTTTGTTGGCAATGGAAACAAATTATAGGAACAATAGTAGAAGTGAATATCCCTTAAATTGACAATTTTCATGTAAAACAAAGCCAAACGAACACCAAAAAATACTTTTACTTCAACATTTTCCACGTTAAAAATTATACCAATCAAACACAATAATTTACAATTTTCAGGAAAACAATTTCTAAATAATTCAATTCCCTGAAATTCATTTTCTTTCCATCCAAATTCCATTTTCGCAATCAAAAAAACCCTTATTGAATTCTCAAATTTTACCAACTTTTCAACTACACATTTCATTAATTTTTCTCAAAAATTTATTTTAAAAAAAAATTTAGCCAAACCAAAAATTGGTAAACATGATACCATCAATGTGCACATATTCTTAAATTCATAAAAATTTCAATGTGGGTAAATAAATATTAGAAAAAACAAATGAAAATAAATAAAAAAAATAAAATAAAATAACAAAAGAATTCTATTGGACAAGATTTGGGGGGGAAAAAAAAGAAAAAAATTTTGGTGGGGATGGGGTGGGGGGGGGGGGGGGGCAGTGACCGTTATTGGCAGTTATGGCACCCTCGCTATCCCTTGCATGAGTTATAACGAACATTAGGCCATGCAAACATATGTAATGTCTTCCCTCTCTAAATATATGCGTGTATGAATGATTTCATTCTACAAAATTATGCCCATGTCTCTCTTTAAAAAGAGTTTTTGGGAAAAAATATTTTTTGAATAGTGATTTTTGGAGATCATGTGTGGTTAAAAATAATAATAAATTGAATTTAGATGCAAAATATTTTATTGTGTGAATGTTATTGAAAATGAGTAAAAGAGAAAAAGAGTTTTGAAAAAAGGGAGACAAACAAATATTAAAATAGAAGAATATTCAAATATTAACTTGTTCTTTAGACGTACACAGAAGGAATCGAATAACCTTACACTCCGTTTCCATCAGTGACGGAGCCACATGATGTCATATAGGTCAAAAGATCCCACGAAATTTAAGAATTTATGTTTTTTTTTTTTCAAAATTTAAATTTTCATTCATCCTGTCCTTTGAGCACAAGAATTTAAAATCATTAGTTAATTTCTCATTTATATCTAATGTCTCGAGTGTCAATTTCATCGAAATATAATGTCTACCATAGATCAACTCATCGACGCCAGCGACAGTCACTAACATTTAGCCACCATACACCACTCTCTAATCTCTCAAGTTTCAGTCCACGTGCTATATTGTTTCAAAAAACCTATAACTTACCTTTTAACCTTACAATGAAAAATTTCTAGCTGTGCCATTGATTAACATTGAGGAGCCACAATCCATTAAACACAAAACTTTACATACAATACAAAGACAGGGTTTCTCGGTGAAAACAGGCTCTTCGTTTCTGATTCTTCTTGTTCTTATATATATAATTAATTGACATATAATTTTGTACAAAAAAATTGTGATCCCCTAATATCGTCTATGTATATAATATTTAAATGAATAAATGCAATTCAACTAAAAACATATTTGAAACGAGATCATTGACATATAACATATACAGAAGAGTTTGTTATAGATGGATCATACATATTCTTATGTATATCTTAACCACCTCATTTACAAGTTGCTAGAGTTGCATATGTATTCATTTAAATCTTATTTTTAACATGTTCATCAAGTGTACTCTTAATTCATTTCTTGATCAAAAGGCTAATAAATGCATAACCACATATATATATGTACTCATTTAAACCTTGTTTTTCGCATGACTCAAAGGCTGATTCGTGCACAATTTTTTACGACTAGGTGACGGTAAGACTTGAAACTAATGAGTTAGATACCGTGTTAATCATCTGATTTAGAAAAAAAAAAGTTGTTAAAGTTGGACCACTTCTATTCATTTAAATCTTTTTTTAACAAGTTGCATAATGTATGAATCTAATTAATTTTCCACTCAAAAAAGTTGAATCATGTACAACTTTTTTATAAGTAGGTGATAATGAGACTTGAAACTATTCTTAAGTTTGTGTTAGATACCGTGTTAACCTTCTTATTTTTGTCAAAAAAAAAAAAAAATGGTTGTTAGAATTGGACCATGCGCAAATTTTAAATTATTATTTTCGATAAGTCTCATTGCATGCAGACCTAATTCATTTCACGATCAAAAGATTGACACTCATTCTTATAAATAATTGATAGTTACACTTGGAAACTAATCTTAAGTTTGAGTAAGATACCCTCGGAAACTATCTCACTTACGTAAATAAAAAAAAATAAAAATTATTAGAGTTGGGCCACACACAATTTTTAAATTTCATGTTTAGCACAATAGGCGACAGTGAAATTTGAAACTACTAAATTTGAGTTGAATGCAGTGTTAACCATCTCATTTACAAAAACTTTGTTAGAGTTGGACAACACATACTCATTTAAATCTTATTTTCAACACGTCTCATAATATGCAAACTTAATTAGTTCACAATTATAAGACTGATACGTGCACAACTTATTTATTAATATGTGGCAATGAGACTTGAACTAATGTTAAGTTTAAGACATATAACATGTTAATCATCTTATCTTTTGAGTCAAATGTCATGTTAATAATGTTATCTAAAGTCTGTCTTCAACAATGTAAAATTAAAAATGATAAATGATAAAGAGAAATTTTCTATTTTGGAGTAATACTCTTTGTTATATTCATCCTATCCTATTACAAGTAAAAGGGGTGTCGTCTGCAATTCTTTTTCCACTTTTCCCCTTTGGAGGGGTTATGTCTTGGGTCCCAATTGAAATGGACACACAAGAGGCCACCCATATCTACATTTTCCATATTACTTCTCATCACCCATACATTTGCATGTTCTGTAAAACAAACACTAACCCCTCCAAATTCCACATTTAATGCTCATCCCTTTGTTTTTCGGGTACAAATATATACCATAACAGCTTCAAATTATCAGTATATATATACCGATATCTTACACTGTGAATCAAACAAATTTCTCATCTTTGTGTTGCATTTGACTGATATTTCTTGCTTCTGATGTCGACTACACAATCTCTTGTTCTTGTTCTTTATCTTTTGTTCTCTCCTTTTCATGGATGTAGAGCACGAAACTTTGGGGTGTTCAACAAGGAGCCTGTTGAAGGATATCACCTATATCGCAAGGTTTGAATTCAATTAACGAGCTAATCATTTAATCCACTTGAGCATACCAATTACCAAACTCATCCTAATTTCTCGTTTGTGCAGGACACAGAGGCGCAGAGTCTTGTTAGGGTTTCTATACAACCAGACACCAAAGCTCCAGAAGCTACAAAAACCGAAAGAAAAAACCATGACGATAATAAGATGAGCCCTGCAAAGCCATTTGAGGCTCCTAGCAGAAAGAGTCTACGGAAAGCAGAAGTATCGGGTGCTGCTCAAACTGAGCCTGCAGCTTCTGTTTCTTGGAGGTTGCCTCACAAGAAAGAGGGAGAGGAAGAACCAGTAGATAACTTGGATTATTTACCACCCCATACACACCCTTCGCATAACAATTGAGCTTTTTTTTCTTAATGATGATTTCTATGTTGCATCTTAATATTTAGAAATGATCACCTGAGAACACACTAGCAATAAGGAAGTGTTTGGAACCCTAGAATCTTAATTATGGTTCATGTCTTGAATTGGTTTCTCTAAAAATTTTACCTGGTGTATAGAAAAGTATATATATTATATATAGAATGAACATCTCACACATGATGCCCTTGTCGGGCCTTAATTAGCCCCCGTTGGAACCCCATTAAATTTATAATTTATTATTCTCTATTCTTTTTAACCATACATTTTTCAATGAAATAATATTACACATAAACCAAATTTTTTTCTTCTTTTTTAAACACAAATTCTAAAAAAAAAAAAAAAAACTATTCCAAAAATCGTAACATCAAATAATGGGACTCAAACGGGAGCTTAATGTATATTAATAGATTATATTTTGAAGAAAACATTTGATTAGCATTCCTACAAAACCTTCTATTCGTGTTTTCCTATTATATTAATGTCAAAGAATCAAGAAGTTGTTGGAGCTAACCCTCAAATCTTATTTAGGTTTTTGTCATGTTCATCATGGCTCCTAGTCCTCTCTTTGACGGCCTAAATTTTTAAAACAAGGGGCTCAACGTACTCCGCCTCTTTCTCTCTTTGCATGTGCACACGTGCTCAACAACTTTTTATCTAAAAGTTTAAACTGCGTGTTATACAATCTTTAATCTATACGTGCTCATGAACATCTTTATCTAAGTTAAAGTTGTTATTTAGTCCTTGTTTGGTGAGATTAAAATCAAATTTTTAGTAGATTTTGATAAAAGTCTATGAAATATATAGTTGAAAAGTTGTGAATATCATGAAATGTGTGGTTAAAATTAATTGTTGATTTTAACTTAAATTAAAATTTTAAGTTCTACTGAACATGGGCTAGTGTGAGACACATTGATTTAAATTTTGTGTTCAATACACTCCCTAGGTACACGATAGTGATGAAAGCGCTTTGCGTAAAGTTCATGATGCAACTTAATTTTATAAAGATAGTCTAACTAAACTTGAATCCATATATGTATTACCCACTCATATAAAGAACTGATCTTCTGTCCATAGTAAGCAGGAAATATGTTTAAGCAGGAGATATGTTGTCCGTTGATGATGTGACAACATGATATTCTGCACGCATATATATTTGATGTTGTATTTCGAAGTATGGCACTTGATTCTTCTTAAATGAGTTTTGCACTTTTCAGTTGATGGAAGTTGAGCTTTGAAAGCTGATACCATATTGTCACATGGCTTTTGGTATTTATGTTGCTTGCAGCAGTAATTTCTCGTCTTATCTTTATATTCACATTTATTGTAAGATGGTGATTGGTTTTTAAAAAAAATAAATTGATAATAAAATTTAAATAGTTTAAGCTCTAGAAAGATTGAGCAATTGCTCATTTGAGCAGTTTGTATACTGATCTATATATAGGGAAATGATCTAATGGGTATTGTTACTTAACAACTTATTATGTTAAAAATCGTATTCAGTAACATGATTTTTGTATTAACAGCGCAAGTTCAAATCTTTGTCCAGCCAGTGTAGCAATTAATACAATAAGTGCACAATGAAATCTATCTATGTAGGAAAATACATCAACCTATATTCTCTTCCATTTTTTCAATAAATGTATTTTTCCAAAATTCATTTTCAATTATATATTTTTTCATAAAACAATGTTACACGTAAACTTAATTTAAAAAAAAAAAATTTAGTCACACATTTTTAAAAAATAATCACTATTCTAAAATACTTTTTTTGTTCCCAGAATCTTAATTTAATAGAGTTCAAACTGGTGCCAAATACTGCGACGAAATTACTATCATTAATAAGCATCTATTTGGAATTTTTATACATGATTTATAAGGAGGAAAATAAGATAAATAATAGCAAGTCCTACAAAATGTGTAAAAAGTAATGTCAAGCCACAATTTGGTAAAGTGAGTTGGCTTGCACTCAACTCGATCTACAAGCTAACACGAGTCGACTCACGTGATTAATCGAACCAAGCCCGATGGCGAGCAAACTGAACAGCTCGACTCGACCCTTTTTGCACTCTGACCTCTTGACATGGTCCGAGGGCACATAACCCCGCGC